CCGCCCCGCGCGCCCCCGCGCCGCCCCGCGGCCGCCCCCGCGCCGCCCCGCAGCCAGCCCCGCGCCGCCCCCGGCGCCGCCCGGCCGCCCCCGCGCCGCCCTGCCGACTGCGAGGCGTGCGTGTGTGGAGGCGTGGCGGCGGCGCTCGCCGTCGGAATGTAGGAACGCGAAGAACGTTTGACGCGACCACAAGCACGCTGCGGCGCCGCCTCCTCCCGGTTTCTCCTTCCTCACCTCGGAGTATACTTACCTTTTGCTTTTCAAGGAATACTCTCCGGGAATATGGATACGCACAGGTAATTGCAGTCTATAGAAGACGTGCTGAGAGATGAGAAATATTCATTGTAATTACATAAGACGTTATATGAGTTTACATTTCTAATTCTTGAATTCTACTCAAGAAAATTATAACAATGACTAAACTCTTAACTGATGTACATCGCTAACTTCGACCGCTCTTGCTCGGATTGTGGGTTCTAACGCTTCCATTACAGAAGTAGTTCATGCAAATAACAAGATGCACAACCCACACGAAGAAAAATTTCAAAGCTGATAAATTTGAGTCGTGTACGGAACGTGATTGGTTTGTTTTCTACCGATCAACATATTATAAAGGAGTTCACATTTTTTCTCCTAGTTGTTTATAAATCTTGGCACAGTATCATCCCGTATCATCGCCTTTCAACTTTCCATCAATCATTAACTCATTTCATGCATGTAAATACATTACCAACTTCTACTTGGCATTGACGATTCATCAGTAAGACGAATATATATTTCTCAATTTGACGTTTCATCGCCCGTGGGAACGTGGCCGCCCCAAATTACGTTCCGCAAAGTAGCTGACTTTGTCTTCTCCCCGGTTTCCCTCGTCTTCCGACCAAGAAACCATTGCCAGCTTGATTCCTCATCTGTGATACTGTCAGTAATAAACCCCCGACGGGATAGAATTTACAACTCACCCAAAATGCTAATTAGTCAGCTTAAATCAACCTTACTCTGGGTCCCCTTCGCTTTGGCCTCTGCACCCGTGTCTGTTCCCCTTAATTTAGTGAATCTCTCGTCGTGTTATCAATTGGAAATGTTCTTGTAAATTATCGGGAAATGATTCTGAGTAAACTCATCACGATGTGATATATCCGAGTCCTGTAAGGAATGTTTTGGAGAGAGAATATAAAAACTTTCCTGCTTGTATTGTTATTTTACATTATCGTATGCTTTAAGTATTTTCTAAAATACAATATTTTAAAAACATAATATTGTGGCAATTAATACTTGTGTGTGCAATACAGAAGCTTCATTGCTTGATAAAATCCGTTGACAGTTACTATATCGTTTACGTATTTTAATGATTTCTACCTCTTTGACAAACTTTGTAATCAAAACATTTGCATTATAATTCAACGTGTGTAATACTGCTGTTACAATGACAGGAGTAATTATATATTTAAAAATTAATAAATCTGTGCCAATGCGTCGGTTCAATACTTCTTTATTCAAAGAACGCTCATAAGAAACTAATAATACGGGATATTCAATGTCGAAGGAAAACAATTCTCAAATGTTTTAAATAATCAGTAAATTTCTTTGACTTAATGCAGCTAATTTTCACTCTATAAACTTTAATTGTATTAAAGAAGAGACCTTTCTGTGCCAAAATGTGTTTTATATGGAGAAATGTGTTTTGGTTACTTCAAGATATTAATTTCTTCAATACGACTAAAACTTACAGATCGAGGTCTATTGTTAGCACTCTTTATCTCCAACTCGTGTGCAATGTTTGACTACGCAGATGCAACTATCGAATTGTAAAAGTGTGATAACAATTTTGTTAGATGAAACGAATGTATGAATTGCTGCTAGGTATTTTTCTGTAAGTAAGTGTAATGATATCAATTATTAGCCCAGACGTGTCTGTTGTGTTAAAATATGAAAATAATTAATCGACTCATTTCTTTACTTAATTCTAAGATTTTGAGATAGCAAAACCAAAAGTTATCAATTTTGGAATTTGGAGTGTGTGAAAAAGTTTGGCCTACATGCGACATCAGGACAACGAATGATCAATTTTATCATTATAATTTTATTTGTAGAAAAACCAAGATTTAAATTGTTTAGTTAGTTATAGAAGTAAAATAAAAAATATGCGGGACTTGTACAATATATTTTCTGTAATAATAACTTTACATAAAAACAAAAATAAAAATGGGAAAATATGAAATCGAAGATTGTGTTTTTTTTAGTATTCTTACATTATTTTATTCATTTTGAATGATATGCAATGAAAAAATTTATATGGAGACCTACACTGCACTTGATGCATTTTGTTGGATTTTTTGTGACGCACTATGCACCGTGTTCGACTATTGTGATGTTACAAAATTTTAGAAACGATCATATCTCGTGTCCACGTTCTCACTTCTAGAGGGCTTACCAGCTGCACGTTTTGGAGTTCCATTTCGTGATAAAATTGAAAGCCCAATTCCCCTGCCCTATTTCAAGGTGCACAGTTTGACACCTCTATTCTTATGTAATTGTCATGCTTTTTGGTCAGCCACATTGATACAATGAGCAATTAGTGGAAAATAGCACTCTTTCAGATCGAGGTGCGGTGCATTATGTTCGCAATTATCTACACACACGTGTACATTTTATATTAGTAAACGATTTAGGGCTGTGTAGTAGTAACTATAGCCTTATATTTTTGTGTGTATATACTTTAAACAATAGTTCAACAAAAGTAGCATTTGGAACTATAACCATCAAGTTATTGTGCCACTTAAACTCGATAATATTATGTTTTTCTGACATGCAACAGTCGAATGAACATTACCTTCTTAGTGATGATAGATTTTACTACCTGTGACCCTATTTGTCCCCTATTTTCTTTGATAATGCCTGTTCTTTTCATTGCTTTCTTTCCCGTTTTCTAGCAGTGGAGGAGATGTAAAACAATTATCAAAATAAATGTGACAAGACAGTTTGTGAAGTGAAGATAGCACGTTGTATTGGAAGACCACAGGAGCATCCAGACTCACTTCTCTAAATTCTTCTCGAATATCTGAATGTTTGCCTTGATATGGGTCCATCCTTACAACGAAGCCAAGTGGTGTTGAGCTCACCCACAATCTGTACTCATAATAAATGGGTTTACTACTTTTAAATTGTTTACGCCAGTGCCTGCCGCAATAAGTGGCTTCATTCACGCTTTGGTGTTCTTCATTTGGAGCAAACATATGTAATTTTGCATTCAGAACTTAGGACACGAACTATAGAATGCTTGTCGGTTTTATCAACGTGACAGTTGTGACAGTTACTACTAAGTGATAATTTGATATGCTAAAATCAAACATGTCTCTACTCATTGAACTAGAAATTAAATCATTTTGAGAAGCTATGGCCTGTTCCCGTACATTCTGCGCAGATGAACTTGCATGTACTCGCATATCAGCAAAATTCCAATAAAGCATTATATTTCCCGTCAAGTCATATTCCCAGAATAATTTTCCTGAGTAGCATATCTATTAGACTCTACAAAAAATGGGCCAACAAGTCTATCATCAAATAGAGAAAAGAATTCTGCCACCGGAAACATATCTTCTTCATGTCTCAAAGAAATTTCAAGTGATAGTGGTCATAAGGTGAAAGGTTTTTGTCCATGAGTTCAGGTTCTTTTCTTCTTACGATGCTTAGTCCTTGAATCTTCTCTACCATGTCTCTCCTCTTCGCTGTTATCGTCAATGAGAACACCTTTCAGTATCTTTGCCTCTGACCGCAACTGACTTCGTGGAAGATTGTTTATATTACCAATGTTCCTCACCTAAATCTTCATTTCTTACTTTCTTACTAACCTTTTCCGGAGGTTCAATAATTGTTTAATTCGTCTCCAGACCCTCCGTAATGAAATGGACCGTCTTCGAGTAATAAAGTTATTTCAGCCAAATTCAAATCTTTGTTACAAAAATGAACATTTTGGGGCCTTATTTATTCGTTAAAATTTATTCCATGATCAAATGATGTATACGTTTAAAACTTTTTTTTCATAGAACGCATTGATCTATTGGCCTAACGTTTCATATCAGGGACAACAACAATTTGAACATCGCCTAAAATTGGTTGTGAGCTCAAAATTATTCATTGCATTTAAACTAATATTTAATATCTCCACGTTAAATATAACTAAGTTTTGTGTTTAGAAATTATAAAATCAATTAAATATCTTCATTTCTGGTAAACATTACAAAAGTCTCAAATTTTCTCAAAATTTCCCGAACGATGGCTTTTCACTTCTGTACAAAAACAACTGAATCACTATGCGAATGCCTTAAAGGTGCTTTCATATCAAAAAAATCTCCAGAAAAATGCAAAAACTTCATGAAAGTAGAGAAATGTTAATTGTTTCACATAAGGGACGTCAGGCTTATCTGGGTCGACATGCTCAAAAGCAAGTTTAGTCGATCATTGCCTGAAGCTATTCCTTGGAAGTCATGTCATTTACCAGTTTTCTCTGACTTACTCGATTCGCAATGCCTTCCTCAATCAACAAGGAATTTAAGGGATAATCGACTTAAAATGTTTATTTTTCAGTTATAATTTTCTACATATCGGTAAAAAGCGAGATAAGTGTGACGAATGTGTTAACGGATAGAGCCGTCAAAATGTTGTCATGGCACGACTGGAAAGTCCACTTAAAAGTCGCAACAGTGGATAAATGAGAATTTATCTTGTGCCCTAGAATACAAGATGTTGAAAACACAGGTGTACAGATAAATAAGCAACGCATTAGATGTTCTGTTAGATTATTTGACCCTGATTTAGAATGAGCTTCCTTTAGCAATACAAATTGATCAATGAAAATACATAACAATTTTGAGAAAGGAACATTAATTTAAGACTCTGGAGATATTTACCTACAGCACGACAATATTTCATTAGGAAAGGAAGAAACTTTTTTTTTGAAAGCTGCCATTCCTGAACCCAAATGTAATTTATTTTACAAAAATAGTTGTACATTACCCTAAAATTATATGAAGTTTATAAAAAAATACATCGTTAATATGAAGCATTAATAAATACACCATTTTGATGGTCTAAAATTCTTTTTTTCTTTCCTTTTCGTGAAACGTTTTCCCTTTAGTTCCTTCACCACTTTCCGCCTCTGATTTTCACTTATTCTTCATTTCACCATATTTCTCCCAGTGGACCCGCAGTCTTTCATAGCATTTAAAAGCCACATTCATAACTCAACAAATCAACGATTAAGCATTGGCGGTTTGCCTCGCGGCGTAGACGTTCAACTTGATCTGCAGCACGCCGCTGTCGAGCAGGTTGAGCAGGAAGCGCCTGGACACGCCGAAGCACTTGCCCTGTTCCACCAGCTCGCTTTGGCCCGGGCCGTCCGGGTGCACGGGCCCCGTGAAGCACAGCTCGCGGTGGCCGTTGGTGTCGGAGATTTTGACGCGGTACATGAAAGTCGGCGCTTCCTCGTTGGTGGCGGCGGCGGCGGCGGCGGTGGTGTCGGTGGGGGTGGGGGCGGGCGGCGGCGCGCCGTCGCAGTTCTGCACGCCCACGAAGAGCGAGAACTCGGTGAGGTGGCGCCAGAACCAGAAGAGGCGGCCGTGCGCGGCGATGATGGCGCACCCGACGGAGTGGCCTCGGCCGCTGGTGTCCAGCTCCACGTCCAGCAGCACCGGCAGGGCCAAGATGCGCAGCGGGTGCACCTGCGGGAACATCATGCACATTCTCAGAACTATTTACTTGATTTTAAAGAAAAAAAATTATTGATTAACGAATCAATTTTGAGTTGAGATCTTTGAGTGTTGATTTTAATGTTCCAATTGACGACCCAGGTATATATTGTATTTTAATATTTTCCTAAATTATCTCGATCTTTTATAAGATCCAGGTGTGCAGTAAATATTACAGTAGCATATGCAAAAAAGTCCGTGTCTGAAGAAGTTAGTTTGAGGATGTCGGATATAAAAATATTAAAGAGATTGAGAGAGAGAGAGGAAAACCCTGGGGAACCCCATAAGTTGTTTAGATGGATAAGTATAGTTTAATTTACGTTTTAAATTTCAGTGCATCTTAGATTAACACTGCATCTTATGAGAACGGCCAAACACTCGGGTGCCGTTTCGCGAAATATAGTGTTATTCTACGATGCGCGTTACTTATCGCGCGACAACGCAGCGCTCGTGTGCAGGGGCTGTGATTGATTAGACAGAATGTCCGGTGAGGAAACATCGAAACTTCGCAAAAAAGCTCTTAATTAATCTCTCTTAAGTTAATTTTAAGCATATTTTATCTAATTAGCTACTGGGATATTCTGAAAGATTGAGACGCAAAAAGCACTCAAAAGATGGTTTGAAAAAAAATTATGTTTAGGCAACCATTTGTATTGCAGAACCGTATAAACACTCAAAAACAAGTACATTGTTTATTATTTACAAAATATATGAATATATTTGTTTATAAAGAACAAAGGAGACGAATTGTGTAAATTGGGTGCTTTTTATTTTTGTGTAAATTTTTGTCTGTGAACAAATAAATTCATTTCTTTTACAAATAATAAACAATGTACATGTTTTTGAGTGTTTCTATGCTCTGCCAATGAAATTTTTGCCTAGAAAGCATTTTTTAAATCAACTTTTGAGTGCTTATAGCTCAAACATTTGCAATATCCCAGTAGTTTATTAAACAAAATATGCTTAAGTTGTCTTAAGAACTTATTTGGGATTTTTCGACGTTTTCTCCCCGGACACCTGTATTTAATATATCGGGCGCGCCCACTGCTGTGGTCATTAGCCCCGTAAATGTTATGAATGTTATATCTGGGGAGGTACCGGTGTCACTTCCCCCACTAAAATGTGAGATCCGGCACCAACTTACACGTCGCGGTCCCTTGAGGTATCCCTCTTCGTGGGGAACGGACCCAACCTTCCATTTGGGCTTCAACAGTTGAGCATGCAAGTGTGTGTGGATGCGTGTGTGTAAGGTTTTATTGGCCAAGTAAGAGTAACGATAGATTGCACCCGGTACGTGGCCCGTTGGATTGGTACTGACATGGAATTAACCGAGTATTGATGAAGGAAACCAGGGAAAATTAGTCAATAGCGGTAAGAGCAGCCGGCCGCTAGAATTCTCCAGAGGGCGGCTCAGCCCGTTCAAGTACCTCCACAGCTAGTGTCGAAAATGCGCCTGCGCTTGGACTCAAACCCTAGGACCCTAGGATTCAATCTCTGAGACGAAGAGACTGCAGAAGCAATGACAATACTTCTGTTGTCTCATTGCAAGTGGTGTTTTGTTAACTTCTGATATACGGAGTAATTGTCGCGTATGTATTTGCGGGGAAATGAAATTTGAATTTCAAACACTTTTATTTGGAAATAGTTTCCTTCAACAATATTTCTGTTTCCAAGAGAAATGCTATTAGTGCGTCATGTTGTAGTTCTGAAGATAAATAAGTAGAAACATAGTAAAATAATATGTCGCCGTTTCAGAAAATATGATGTTTCTCTACATTAATAGTTTAATTATTCTTTAATATTTACAAATGTGGATTTTGAAATGTACATAAATATGAAATTCTTAGAATCATACATTGACAGTTTTATGTGTTTAATTTCAATAAGTCAAGCGTTTCTTTGGCACTTCACCTCGGAAATATCATCGTCCTCCTCCAGAGAAACATTATTGTTAACATGAAAGAAAAGTTTTTCTCAGACATAACAGAAACGAATATAAAACAAAAAATTCAGTTCAAAATTTAATGTAAAGAACAAATAATTGAAACTATGAATCCCGTGAACGACATGTTTCTTTTATCCGTAAAAAATATAAAAAGATATCCATGTTTTTCAATAAATAAAAAGTTTTAAATTTACTCCTGATGACGTAAAGTTTTCATACAACTAACTACAATATTATGAAAATACAAAAGGGACGAGAATTGAGTTGACGGAGGTCTTGGGAAACCAACTTCGTTGAACCTAATATCATTAGATACTTTCAGCTATAGGACCAAATTTTAATAGTCATTTTTAATAAATAGACAACAGTTATATTCGACTTCTACCGAAGAACTTCTAATAGTTGAGGACGTAGACGCTGTGGTGGTCCATTGATGGCACCCGAGCGACATATGTTATACATAGTAATTGTAAAGGCAAGAATGGAAGTCGCACATGACTGCCGAGGACAATGGTTGTGAGTTTTATGTTGTAGTTCTATAAATGTTAGTGTTTTTTATGTTGTACCATTCAATTTGTGGAAGTGAAATCAGAAGCAGATAGAAGAAATTGAGTACACAGGTTTTATAAATATTATTAGTGATCGTGTGAAACAAACGTGAATACAGCAGTCAATAGATTTAACATTTACTTAAATATCCCAAAACCAACTTCCCGATCACCAGGGGAAGCCTCATTCCCTATCGCTTGTTGCGAACGTACCGTGGAGAAGTGATGCTGTATGTTGGCGAGCGGCAGTTGGCTCTTGCAGATCTTGCACTCGTAGGGGCGGAAGCAGCAGCCCTCCTGGTGAACCTTGAGGTCCTTGGGGAAGACCGTCTTGGTGCAGCCGAAAAGGCTGAACGGGCACTGGACGGCCAGCAAGTACTTGGAGAACTCTTCGGCCAGCCGGTTGCGGTAGCCCTTGAGGCGCCTGCGGCACGTCGGGCAGGTCTCCGTCTGCGTCGCACCGAGAGGTCAATTTACTTCGGCATGTAGTAAATTTGTGACAAGAATAATAAGAATTGAATTGAACTGAATTGAATTAATGCCTTATTTTACGTGGTGAGACTCGGGCCATCAGGCCCGCTCTTCCGTCTGACCACGCAAATTTCGCTATGCTCCTTTCACCAACTAGCGGAGAAATGAGGTATTTCTTGGGCGACGAACAGGCGATTTGAATTTCGCTCAGAGGCGACATTTAGGCTTGAGGATCTTTTACATGCAAGTATATTTACTAACATGGGACAACCAGCTTTACTTCCCTTCCGAAGGAAGGCGTACGAAGAATTTTTTCGCCCTTAAAAATCCACGGCGTCGATCGGGTTCGAGTCCGCCAACTTAGGTATAATAGCCCGATACGCTTTCCATTACGTCATTCGTCCATTGATGGTAAAGACGGACGATTTCTTTCAACAGATTTCATTTTTACCCTGGATTTTTTTTTACGAAAATGTAGTTTCAAGTTTGATTTTGATTTTTCGTCTTACTACATAATTACGTAGTAAGGAGAAAGCTTTGCGATGCTACAGTAAAAATAGGTTATTTTTCGTCAGAAAAACGCATTTTGTGGGGCCCTGAAATCGAAAAAGAAAAATATCTTGTGCCTGTTTGTGGTAAAATACTTCCTCTAAAACATGTACACCTTCTGTGGATACTTGATACCGAAAAAAATGGTTAACAGAAAAAAATGTGACTTTCTTTAGCCAACGCTACCGCCTAAATTGTTCAGGCGATATTCTCCACAGTTGATATTCTCCGATCGATCTGGACGAATATGCTTGTGTTATGTAATTTGTAAAAGTTTGAAATTGATATTATTTTTTAAGAGTGGATACTTAATTTGAAGTTTCTACAACATTTTAAAAATGTTCTTATTTTCCGCTGGGTACGACTTAGATCCCCAACCAATCCATTAGACATTTTCATATCAACTAGTCATTCAAACTGAAACCAAAAGACGTTGTCTTCAATGTCTTTAGGTGTTGAAGGGCAAGTAACCATAATAATAAGTAAATTATTATTTAAGTGAACAGGTTTCTTATTTATCTGTTTTTGTCACATGAACGACTGCATATGCATGACTGCGACTTTGCATATGAACGATTAACAGCCTGTCCGCCGGTCCGCAGGTCCGGCCCTCTTTTTGCCTTTTTTCCCTACTCTCCCTTCTGTCTCTCCGCCCGCCCGCCCCTCTGTCCGCCCACCATCCTGTCCTTCCGCCTGTCTACACTCTACCCGTTCGCTCCTCCCTCTACTCGTTCGTTCATCTGCCTGTTTGCCGTCCCATCTGCTTGAATACTTACCACAGCGCGGCACTCATGGCAGAGGAAATGCCCGTTAGGGCACTGCTCGATGGGTGAGCTCATGGGCTCCAGGCACACGGGGCACTCCAACAGCCGCATGAGGTACCGGATGGTATCCTCCGCGGTGTTCGGCATGGTCTGCCACTGCAGGACAAAGCCAACTATGAGAGAGTAGTCTTCCGCGGCCGGAGTCAGTAATTACTAGGCTGTCCGGGTGACGCCGCGTTTCGGTCGCCATTCTGCGACCTTCCTCAGGGCGTAATGCATTACGCCCTGAGGAAGGTCGCAGAATGGCGACCGAAGCGTCGGCACCTTCGCCATGGACGCGGCGTCACCCGGACAGCCTAGTAAATAAAGCCAATTATCTTCATTACCACAAGTGAATTTGTATTTCGTGTTGGGCTCGTCAACTATTTACTACGTAAGTTTAGTGCATGTAGTCGGTAGTGATGGTATTCTTCCCCTTACGAAATATGAGATCTGCCACCCAATTACACTTGGATGAAGGGTATTCCCTCTTTAGGTATCTCCCCCCAGTGGAATGCGACCCTAGACGGAATAAATTCAGTGGACCTAGACACATTCTATATTTTAAATTAATTCTGGTTCTCTGTTGTGCATGGTATAATATCTATATGTACATGTGTGTGTAAGGAGAGGGGAGATAAAAGGTTCAGAAGGAAAGATCGCATGATCACTAATTGTTACATTTATATAATTGAATATTATGAATTTCATTCCTTAAGAATACATACTAAGTCTGTCTAAACAAACAAACTCTCAGTGATTCCGAAGTATATCCACAGAAGTAAATATTTATATAGTTTTAAGAAGAGCTGCTGTACTTCCTGATAAGGGGAGAACAAAGTTTTGTGTTGTCCGATCTCGTGAGTCAGGCTCTGATGTGAAAATAAGGAAACCTCTGTTACTCCAAAGAGAGAGAGAGAGAACTACTAGAGAATTTTGATAGATTTTGACCATTTTGTGAACATTTTAATATATACAATCTTTTTACTAATTTATAACGTGCGCAGAAATTTAGAGAAAACTGCGCACCCTCCCACCGTGTGAGAGGTGTTTATGGTTTTGTTAATCGGAAACTAGGGAAGATACCAAAACTAGGAAAGTTTCGATTTTGACTCAAAAATGCAAATATTTCGTTATGTGTATCCAAAATTCCTTATTTCGAACTGTTGGTCTGTGTATATACTGTACTATGTTATTACGATATTCGAGAAGACTGTTTTTGTTAAAATATTAATTTATTACAGTTTATAAGAACGTATTTTATTTCTATTTGTAATTATTCGAAGGACCATTGACTTTGATCAGGCTGACGTGGCAGACAGTATAACAAACTTTATTAAACAATTTTAACGTTTTTATAGACCAACGTTTCAAAGGTCATTGACCTTCATTATCAGGGTCTAATTATAATAAATACATAAATATATTAATATAACATTTCAGAACATTAGTAATATATTAGTTTATCTTTTATTCTGTTAATTAATTTTCAACTGAAACAAACATTTTTAGAGGAATACAATATCAAAATAAGAAACTGCGTATTAAATAAAAATCCATACATAAAAATATAGATATATAAAAAAATCTGTGTCTAAATTAGAACTAAAAGAAACAATATATATTCCTTGCAATGCATACAATGTAATTTCTCCTACGTAGGACAGACGTTTAGAAATTTTAAAGAGCGAGTAAGAGAACATAGAAACAACATACAACAAATAGAAGACAGACAAAACTCATTAACTAAAAATCCAGCATATACAAAGATCGTCAATTTGATTTTCTTACCCCTACCATATTAAACAAAGAATCATTGCAGGCATAATAAAGGAACTCTTTATATTAAATTACAAAAACAATCAAAAAATACTATGACAGAGCGCAATACGTTCACAAACTTATAAGACCCCATAATCAATAGCACAAAACAATATATAATAATTTTAGAATGTATGCACTATGGTTAGGTAAAGTCAAACATTATGCCATTAGAGTCAGTTTCAAAATGAAATACTTTACCGTCCTAGTGTGGTAATGAAGTACATTACTACTCTAAAGTAATAGCTAGGCTCTAAAGTAATAGCGTACTTTGCTACTCATTTGAAAATATTTTGGGCTTATTTGTTTTGTACCCTACACTTTTCTCGTTTAGAAACGCTAAGAACTGAGTAAACTGACGTTTTCTTGGCGGTCCGGTGCATAATACCGGACGCGCAGCTCCGCGGTGTCACTGGCTGGGGAAGCCTGCGTCATGACAGGCGAAACGTCGGCCTGTGAGCCAACGACGCCGCGTCTCCCGGTCAACCAAGAAGACAAGGACTCGAATTGCTTACGTTTAGAAGATGCTTACGTTTACATTTGATATCAATGTTGTCATTACGTGATATTGTACTCTTTATCATAGAGTAGAGGCAACAAAGACTTCTTAGTTTCTCCTCTGACTTGATAGAAAAGTGATCAATTAAACCTTTTTCCGGTCTGGAATGAACTTTTTTTATCCACACAAATCTTTAAAAATTAAAACTTACGCTCACATTTCTTTCTTAATTTGTTGGGTAACATTGTTTCTACAGAAGCATTTTTCTGTTTTTTCTATTTCCAAATCTATATTCACTACATGACGAAAAGTATACACCAAGTGTGTTACAATTGTTCTCCTTGTCGAGAACAATGTCGCCACTAATGAGAGAAAAAATTTAAATACTAATTGAAGGTGAGTACGAAAATTCACATTAAATCTAACGAATTGATTTAATATACGAAGTGATTTAATTTACGATATTCTTGTAATATCATCTGATTGTAATACTCATTTAGTTACCAAACGCGACCTAATTGCCTCCTACGACAATTTTCGAATCTGGTATTGTACTCTTCCAATTTTCTTTTTCTCAACACTACCTTCACCTGTTGAAACATACTGCCTCTTGTATTTCATACTGCCTCTTGTTGAAACATACTGCCAAAGATTTTCACAGAGAATAGAAAGGCATGAAAATGCATATATAACAAAACGTGTGTGAGATAATTGTTTCAGATTCACAAAAAATATTACATGATTTCTATTCAGGTAAATTACTATTCTACGAAATTAATTGATGTTTTCCCCGAAGGTCGTGCTTAATCAAATTATATTTTTGTAAACGAAATTTATAATGAATATTCATATGATTGTTTTAGTTCCAACTTTTTTGATTTAAGAATATATTGTGGAATAATTAACCGTGACTTAAAAATAAACAAATCTAAACAGGTATGGGATAAATATTAATCTTAAATTACATTGAAGAATGATATTAATTATATTATTTTTAAAAGTATTTTTCAATTTAATGCACGTGCATTTGTTACGTTAGGTTAATATACTTATATATTTATTTTCATTACACCCTGCTGATGAAGGACAATGAAATAGAAGGAATGCGTTTTGAAAAACACACAAGTATGGATTTCTTCAGCAGCATGGTTTCAGCTACAGATCTAATAAACATAGACATACAGGTCAGAATAAATTTTCTCGTAGTTTTTAACCAAAAACGTACTTTTTTCCTAAAACACAGATAAAATATATTTAATTGGTAATTACATGCAAAACACGAACATAGTTGAGACCACTACCTCAATGTAATAATGTATTAAAGCAGTCATTTCTTTTGTTATTGTTAGCAAATAAGGTTAGGTACAAATATGAGCACGCGCAAAAAGTTAATTTTAAATGTGTTCTTACATGGTTTCATGTACATGTACAGTTTCATACACAGTCAGTACATCTGCTTTATTTTTAGGTTAATCTTTCATTTGAGATGTCCGATCAAGTCCGTGCACCGTTTATGTGCAATTTCAATAGTTTTGAATGTGTCTTGCATTTACCCCCAGGAAATGTTCATCTTAAAACTACTTAACACTGTCAACCGTAGCCTTGACGTTGCGTGGCCCCATATGCATGAGATAATGACGTCCAGTTTATGTGGAGTTTCGAAAAGTGAATATTCCCAGAATTTGGGGTAGTAAAAACAGTATATCTCTTATAAACTTCACAATGATTTGGTAGCTCCTGCATAATGATTGAAAAGGTACATCTATTAATAATATGCATACTGAATCTAAAACCTAGAATTTGCCTTTACGTTTTGATTCTATAAATAAATATTTAATGTGTATCTCTTTAGAAATTTCCGTAAATCCCCCCCCCCCCAAAATACGCTGATTAGTCATGCTCTTTTCTAAGTGATTTTTGAAACTTAAGAATGAAAAAGTACCTTTATTATTAGATTTGCTACAGGAAAAATATATACAGATAGATGAGGTGTCAATAATGCACCTATATAATGTAATAAATGTAAGAACACTGATGGTGGCACTGTGAATTATAAACCTCTCAAACACACATTGCACTGTACAAAGAACATAAAACACATAAGAAAAGTCCACAAACACTGCACAAAACACACGCAAAATAGATAAAATGAGGTAATATTATAAATTCCCAACACGTTTCAGTAAAAAATTTTGACACAATATTTTCTTCATTTATATGGATGTTCATATTTAACTTGAAATTAATTATATTTATTTTATGCAATAAATAAATAAATACGTTAACGTGTAAATGCAAGTAAATAAATTATGTTGTCCACAAATAGTGAGCAATGTTCCCTGAACGCTAATGTTAACTTTTAGAGTAATATATTTGTATTCATAATGATATTTCTCACACACATACGAAGGTTACGTGCTTTTAATGCCTTATGTTAATTCATACCAGTTACTTTCCATTTTTCTATTCACTTCTACGTTTGTAAATGCCTTGATGCTAACTTTTGTATGTTTTGAATATGTTTCCTCAGCTGTTTCACAAAATTGTGCCCCTTTGCATGGATAAGAATGCATCGTGTATAGAAATGAAACAAAGATATGGGCTCGCGGATTAGTTAAATTTTTAAGAACAAATTATTTAAGTACGTAAATTTAAAACGGTAATTTCTACAAATTAATAAATGTAAACTAAATATTCACATTTATAAAGAAATAAAATCCCTTTTGGGGCACTTTCTCTTGAATCGTTAGGGAAGCGAACCGATGCTGCCTTGCTCTATACGCTGGCTACCAAACAATGGACAGCAATTCGCAGTGCTCTGCTAAGTTTATTAAGTTATTATTATTATTATTATTATTATTATTATTATTATTATTATTATTATTACTACTATTATTATTACTATTATTACTATTGTTGATATTGTTGTTGTGTACCGTCATGTGCATTAAACCAACATTGCGAGCTACTTAAGGAAATGGAAACGATTGTTGCCTTTTACCACGTACGAATACATTTAAAGGAAAATATGAAAGATTACAATGCATTGAAGATTATTTATTAAATAATATCTATTTGGTACCTTAGGTATTGCATTTGAATACAAAAACGCCATATTACATAAAAAGAACAACGATAACAACAAAAGTAATGTTTTTCCAAATAATGTTTTAGTTCTTGCGTATATTAGAACAGCTTGTTTGAACGTTTTCGTATCTTCATTTATTCTTTCCGTAACGCTAATTCGTACACGCACAGCCTACTCCGCATTATAAATTACAAAAAGGGCGTCCTTACTTATTCTCGAACGTCCAGTTTGGCACAACGGAACACAGCGCTTACTTTGACGCAGGCGTCGGGGGCGTTGGGGGCGGAGCTGGAGTTCCCCATGGCTCTTCGCTGGGCCCAGCTGCAGCCCTCTCGGCGCTCGTGGAGGTGGGCGCTGGTATCGGCTCCGCAGCCAGACGACGAGCGCACTCCGCTCTGCGTAGAAGAAAACTGACCACACACGAGCTAACGACGCTCATCATCTACGTCGTCTTTGTGACTTATCTCTCGTCTATTTAACGGACCGTCTCTGGTGCGGGCGTTCGGGTACAATAGGTAGATAGAGAGAGAGTGTGTGAGTCAATTATTTTCTTTCAATCTCCCGTGCATTTTAGGTTATAGAAGACAAAAATAAAATATCGCGTTCGGAGGCAAATATTTCTTCGTTTATGGTATTAATGTTCAAAATAGAAGACTTCACAAAATCTGGAAAATTTTATTTTGGAAAATCATTATGCGATTAATAGCTTATCGTATCAGATTTTGTCACAGTCATTTTAACAGAAAATATATTAACTCAGAGTTTATTTTTTCCGAAAATCAAATATGATAAATATTCATATCGTAGCATTTGGCATGCTAGTTCTTAATATCGCGCTTTAGATCAAAATAGTGTACAAATCCTTAACATCCTACCTTTAGAAAGATAATTAAATAGTAAAAGTTTTTTTTAAAATACACCGGCAGGCAAAACATCAAGCAAAACGCTGGATGTTTGATAGATGTTTATAAAATTCTCCAGTGTGATCTTCGATAGGTATCGTTATATCCAATCACAGGATTCAACGTGCGGAGTATCCTATAACTTCGATTTATTCGCATATCAAGAGTTTATAGTAAATACTAATTAAATGAAAACATGCAAAAAGGAAAACTAAATAAAAATACAAATTAATTATAAAATATTTACGTATTACATATTTTCACAAAATGTTTATTTAGTTTCATTTTCTAAAATTAAATATCAGACGTTTTTATGATGTATTATAACCTTCATTCTATTTACATTACCAGTAACTTACTTCTAAACAATTGAACAACTTTTTTCTCGATTTGCAAAATGTCATAACACCTATCCGAATCTCACTGAATATGTAAATGCAGGAGCGAAAAGTGGAGTGAGGTTTATGAGTTAAGGATTGCTCTTTTAGAATCCATCGATTTAGTTTATAAAACTGTGCGTGATTTAGTGAAAGACTAAAGTGGCTAAAGAAAAATGCACTTCCTGAGACAACTGATCGCAGATAAAAGGAAGTCGTATGATTTTTGTTTCTCGAATCTGCAAATTTACACTCGTGTAACTTTATTCTCTCCTTAATTTTGTAAATAATTCATGTCCTATTTATATTTTGTTAATACAGTTCTAAGTTTACTGTGGGTGTTGGAATTGTACTAACTGACAGAATTGTAAAATATGTTGCAAATTCAAACAAGTTCAAGAGGAGAAAAAAATATTCATATTGAACCTGGTGTATAAACGTTTTCAATTACAAATCTATATAGGTAAATATAAGGTATGTGACAAATTAAAGTATTGATGCCACGGAGAACCAATTCCGGGAGCTTTCGCTAAGCCTATAATTCTATGATTTATCATTTTATGTAGTTATTAATTTAGCTCAAAAAACGTTTAAAAACTGTGTGACGTATTATGGGAAAACGTGCACCGGTGTACGATTTTGTAGCGGTAAAATCTCTACCCTAACTCATTCATATTAAGAAGAATTATGAATACAGATAGCAACGGGTGGTTTTGGGAAGAATTGGCTTGAAAAGTTTCTCTTCGGGATAATAAAAACTATTTCCAGAGGCAAATCGGTTACGGCTTTTGCCTTCTATCCCTAGTGTTCTCCGTGATGAAATCGACTTTTTGCAGCGAGAAAATTCAGAACGATTATTCGAATATCTACATGCCCTACAGAGCTCAAGTAAACTTGCACAAATAGTATAGCTACATTAAAATGCATGAGAAAGAATAAAGGTTGATTTGCATTATTTTTATTTGCGTACTGATAAATGTACCCAAAATGAATCCAGACTTAGTTTAAGCAATGAAAACTGTATCACTGGAATACGTTACCTGCGACAGCCATGGAACCTGACCTCTAGGTGTACACAGTTTTAAAAGCATATTAACTAAGGAGATTTGCAAAAGTTATTAATTAGTAAGTTAGGCTTATTAAAATAGTTATTACTTTATTATTATTGTTATCATTAGTATTGCGATAAGTACTATTAAATGCATTGTTGTTTAAACATATAATTATATTTTGAGTAGTAGTTGAATTGGAGTGTCGTGACGTGTTGTGAAGAGTAGTGCGAGAGGTAGAGAAGTAGAAAGAGAAGTACAAGTGTAGTGAAGTGAAGTGCAGTGTATTTAAAAATGTATTTATTAGTTAAAATATCTGTGTAGGAGCGTCATAAAATGGAGAGTTAATGCTATTATTGTCTTTATTGTTATCATATTATTATTACTATTATTATTGTCATAAAATGATTTAAATTTACATTGTATCAATATTCCTAATTGTAGTATGTTAATTGTAGTGTTCTGCTACCAGGTTGTATAAAACCTACCTGCCGAAATAATAAATCTCTCTATCTATCACTCAGTTTATTCGCAAGCACGTCAGTTTTCCCTTTCGGTCGACTCATTGACACATCGGCTGAGTCAGAGACCGGCGCCCCCCCCCCGCCACCTCCGGTTCTTTTCATCCTCACCTGACAAATGACGGGTGGCGGACGAGGTGAGAAGCGAACGGCACGCGAAAACAAAGCTTCCGCCGAAGAAAAGCGCCGTCAGGCTGACCGCGGCAACAGGTTGGCCACCAAAAAACGCGCGCCGCCCGCCGTACCTCAGTTGTTTCCAATAACTCTCCGGCCGCCCGGCG